TGACCGTATCGCAAAGTGCTTTAGTAAGGTGAAATGAAGTTCATTTTAAGATTGTGATTTTGAATTTTAAAAAAATCGTGTGTTTTGCTTATCCCCTTAAATATAAAAAAAAAAAAAATACTAATTACATTATTTCATTGAAAATTAACAACACAAGGGTTTTTCTAAACAGTATAACATTATCACGGCTTTTGCTTAAATGCATTTTGTTATGATTGGATCAGCACGCAGAGTATTATCTGTTATACAATAGAGTTGTCCCTATAGTATTTGTTGCAGTAACAGTTCAAGTAGGCAGATTATTAGTGTAGAAATTGTCTATAAAATACGTCGTTTCAAGTTGCTACACTTTACAGTACCATGCAAAGGAGAAGAACGAGATGCAAGTCGACAAAAGTGTATGAGATGAGGGGATAAATTAATAAAAATAATCAAGACTTTGAAGATGACAAAGTTTGTATATTCATGACTCTCTGATCGGCTTCAATCCATGTCACCAGTAGTTTCCAACCACTCCATTTTTTTAAGAAAACGCTATGTATTGGAAAAAAAGTACCAGATTTGAGATACTGGAATTCAGTTGTTTTGAATATTCAGTTGAATTTGTGTTATTTGTGTCTTTTTCATAATCAATACCTCAGGGGAAGCGTTAATTAGCTTTCAATTCTTTTGCTTATATCGATGATTGAGAACACTGCTAACACAGAATCAATTGACGTGATATAGGCATCTGTACCTCCAGAACTGTTATTTTTCCTGCTTGGTTGAAATTTAGAGGTTAGATAGAATGTTTCATCGATCTTCTATGTATTTGAAAATAACTTTTTTTATAAGGGTAACCTGAATTAGCTGGTCCGTACTATAAAAATATTAGTAATTACAACAATGCGATCAGAGGAAGCGATGGTTATTATCTTCATATGCACTTCTTGATCGAACAGTGAGAAGACTAATTTATCTGAGCCGTATATTTCATTTCCCCAACACATTTCGAACAACGTGGATGCATATGTATTTATAAGAAACGTTATAAAGAGAAAAATTTAAGGATAAAAAGAAGTCAAATAGGAAAGCTCAGTTGAAGGCCAAAATTATGAAGTAATAAATCAAACTTGATTTCGGAGCTAGACTTGCCAAGAAAGGTTTAATGGGTTAACAAATTGTTCTTGAACACACAGGTGGCTTAAAATTCCTAACACCTTGACAAATTTAGGGTCTGTCCCAAATGCGTTGAAGTTGTGAAAGCTGTGTCGAACCTGCAACGACGTAAAGCGATAGGACCTAACAGTTTACCACCCGACCTTTTCAAAGATGGAGGTAGCAAACTGCTGATTAGAGTGACGGATGTACTAGGTAGTATATGGGGATCAGCGGTAGTCCCCTCAGACTAGTATACTTCACTGGTCATCTCAGTCTATAAGGAGGGTGAGAAATCTTGCGAAACTATAAAAGAATTACTTTGACTCATATCGTGTGCAAGATCCCAGGGTCTGGACTGGACTGCAGTCTGTTCTGTCTGTTGCACGTTTATGAGGCACGACCGTTAAAAGTGGAAGAGATGAAGAGAGTACAAGATTTTCATCACAGGCATTTCCGCAGTACTGCTTATATTTGGTGGGGTCGCCGTATGAGGGATGCTGATGTAGGGCGAAGGGTACTGGGCAAGAGAAGTAAGTCGGTTGGTGAGTTAGTGAACCTTAGTCGAATAAGAAGGCTTTAACCTGTACTGCGCATGCTGAGTCATCGACTACCTAGGGGAAGTTGGATTAGGTTGGAAGAAGGTTCATGATGGCCAGATCAAGACGTGGCACCAGTCTGTGAAGACTTTTACTGTTAATCTGAATCGTGTGGAGAGATGAAGACTACCTAGCTAGGCCCCTCGAGACGAAAGAAATCAGGGGCTGAGGACTCTTGGTGACATGGTGGGAAATTGGCTATATTAAGACAGATATATTCACTCCTTGGCATCTAAATCTTGAGTGTATGTGGTTTTCTGTATGTTCAAGTAGTTTTCTCTCTCACACTACTTTGTCTTCTTTGGTATCACTTGTTCTTTCCGTCTATTTTTTGTATGCCCGTGAGGTTTGGTTAGTTAAACCGATATACTTGTTTTCAAGGTTTAATGTTGATTTTGTCTGTCTGTCCAACATGTTATGAATTGGGTTTTAGAATGTAGAAACGTAAACTTATGACCTGTCTCAACGATGTTTTTTGTTGTCAAAGAGCTTAGACATCTGTCATCAACGTTTATAGGTTTAGGTGATTCGATTTGCTTTCGATACTTATTTAGAATATATGTGATAAGCGCATACATGCGGCTGTATATAGACGACTGTGACACCTGAATACTTTCAAAATTCAAATGGGATCTTTTTCTCTTTGCCGCTGCATGAAGTATCACCCTTTCATCAGAGGTTTGTATGCATGGCTGATTCCCACTATGCATGCAGCTGATATTATAGCTTCCACAAATTTTTTGGTAAGGAGATATTCCTCATTTAAGATATTTTTCACAGTGGGCGCTTGCTGACTTGAAATCTTTTTTCATTCATTCCCGATATTTACCCAATGCAGAAAATATTCTCTGACAGTTGCTGAGTTAGTGTTAACAGCAGTTTCTTCGGAGTAATACAACTCAGTAACCAAATGCGTCTTCAGGCGTATATCTACACCCTGTAATTCCAGGTCACAAGGTCGACTTTAATAATTTTGAAAATTTTCAGAAAAGCTTTGTAAGTTGTAGGGAAAGTCTCATAACAGAACCTCTTCAAACAGACTGAAATCAAAATTGGTTAAATAAGGATAAGGAAATTAAACGTAGCTGGACCTGGTTTCAACTGAATTCATACAACAGTGTACCCAGCACACATGCAATAAGAAAAGTATGTACATATGTGCACACAGGCCTCAACGTTTGATTCACACACCACATGGTTGTCATCTTTCTCAGCACCTTGTCAACGTAGCATCACCTTTGGAGAAAAGGTCAAATCATTTTATATAATCTTCAATATTGTTAATTCCATTTTACTATAATCTTGATATAGCTATTACTACCAAACACCCAAATGTCATTTCAAACAATCTTGTTTTACATTCATTGGGAAACAAAAATAGGAAACTAAAGGGAATCACCTTAACTTTATTGACTTGAAGTGGACTGTTTTTGTATTACCGAAGATACAACTGCATAACAATTTAAAATTGTAGAATCACCCTTTATCTATTACGACAGGTGAGCTACTTAGTTCTAGTCATTCTAATAGTCAGATATAGTACATTGAGGTGAAACACTGCTGAAAGATGGTTGATAACGTTAGTGCTTAGGAGGGGAAAAAGTTTCTGGGCTGGAGGAATACAGTTGGATGGGGTCAGTGAAGATTATTTTCAGCTTTATTACATTTCACTTCGCCATAACTTTCATGGTGCACAATTAAAAGTTCTGAAAACAGTTGGAAATAATTTGCGATTATGCGGACATTATAAAAGAAGGACCTTCCGTAAAGTCGATAAACTTGCCAAAACTAAGAACCATAAATGACGGTTATTTACAGTGGGTGGGCTGTAGGCTGTTTTAGTTGATTAAGTCAAAATCCTCAGGTGGCTACGGAGTGTTTCTGTGGTTCCTAACATGCCCATGGCTACACTATCAGTATTTCAGTTTGTGAAACCATGAAAAGTGGTTTGTTATAACAACGTCTAGGTATCTATCAAACCTGCAAGTGGTTACTACCTGTTGTAAAAATGTGAACTCTAACTTTGAGACGACTACCATTTACAGCTGACAAGTATTTTTTTCTTTTTGGCAGCTAGTAAGGTGGCCAAAAACAAAGATCGTAGCAAATCTTATGTCAACATAAGTAGTAAGAGCTATTTCTATTATTCCAGAGGTGAGAACTGATATATTCACAAAGGAAATGTGACTTTAAACTTAAGTACAATATGTCAAAAAACTTTAGAAGCTTATTGAGGCTCTCCTTTCTTCACAGTCGTCGGAAAGTTAATTCAGCACAAATCATAAGCGATAGGCTATTTCAGAAGGATAAATAGTGAGAAGGTATCCCAGAATCTACTCATATATCTTTACGTATATTCACATAAATGGTGAGGGTAGGTCTGATAGAAAGGAAGAGGCGCATGTACTCTAAATTTTTCTCATAATCACTAACTTAGGAGATTTGGAATGCTTCCTAAGACTTGGAAGATAATTACAAAAGAATGCCTCAAATCTATCTTCCATATCAAATTAACCAAGACTAAAAGAGCTTTTTTTTTATGCATCTTTCACTATACACAGTCGATTAAATCTCGGCCTTATTACTGTTTATATATATATATATATATATATATATATATATATATATATATATGAGGAAAAGCCTGGTTGATGTAGGTTAATACCAGAACGGTGCTATTCTATGTTAAGTTAACCTGGACAGCACCAAAGCTTGGCGGGAGCCAATAGTGAATAACAGCGTGCTTATAAAATATAGAAAATGTACAAAGCTGGAAGGACGTAAGTGGCCTGACTAACTTATAGTGGGTAGTAATTTATAATCGGTAGGTATGTATTATTAACTGGCTATCATCCTTCCTTCTTAGGGCGTGTCGTTACTGAACTAACTAGTTGAAGATACCAGAATTTACGGGATGGGAACCATGGCATTATTTTTGCGATAGCTTTGTAGAAATAATAGTCTTAAGTGGGTCATTCGAAATCCGGGCAAGTTGATGGTGAAGTCTTCGAATTGATAACAGTAGATTAGTTACATCCTTAGGTAATTCAACACAATATACGAAATTATCTGTGTCTATCGGCAATAATGGTTATTGTTTAAAAATAAGTGTTATCCAGAACTGACTTGTTCGGGACTCCATGGGTAATTTCCAAGTATGGTTTAGGTGATTCACTTCTGGGTTTGCTTTTCGCCTGCTTCCGCCTCAGTCTATCATGCAGTGCTCTGAAATGTGTCATTTCTCTGCTTGTCGTCACGCCATGCCTTACGCTATCACAATTGAGAGCTATAAAGTCTCGTGTTAAGTACATATGATCTTTGGATTTCCGACGAATGTTTGTGTCATCACTCCAACATAATGCTGAAGAGTAAAATCACCAAACAGTTACCATCTGGAACACCACAGTTCTTAACGTTCTTGATTCCATAAGCAAACGTTGCGGGAGGAGTAATAATGCAGTATGTGTTACTACGACCTAAAATTGACTAAGATTATTATATGACTGAAAACACTACCTACACGTTGATGCAAAACATTTTTGCACATGCTGCTTCTTTTTTCGCCCAGGAGGTTTGTAGCTGTGTTTTGCCAACCTCTAGAACATTCGAGCTTGCTGGGTGTCATTTTCATAAACGTGTTAAAGTGGTCGTTACGGCAACTAACATTATGTATTGGCTTAAACAACATAGGAGAACTAAGTCGTCCAGTAGGCAACATATTTCTACGAGCTATTGTAAACCGGACGATCTCTTTGCACTCGCTTCCAGGTATCGTGGAAATGCCATAGGTCTCCGGTGGATTCTGATGCAGTAAGTCAATCCACCCGTCTCTGATTAACCTGAAAAGCTGTCCGGTTTTGATGACATTTGTAGGGGCTGTATGATTGTTCCAAGGAGCGTGATGTACACGGGTTGCTCAAGTGTCATAAAACCAGGCGCTTGTTCGGATTGGTTATATAAAGAAGATAGAAAGGAAGAAACGATATTTGGCGAAATCAAGGGAGAAGAAGCGCTAAGAAAACATGGTGAAAGGAAGCAGAGCGGAAGAAAAGAATAAGCCTTTGTACGTTCATGGGAGGTGAAAATGCTAAGAAAGACCTTTATAAATAGGATGAGATCACAGAGTCGGTGTAGAGTTGACTGGGATGGATTATTCGGAATTAGTATTATAGGATTTGTCCTGGTGCGAACTTGACAGACGCAAAGACCAATCACTAATTATTCGAACTTGTTATATACCCACGAATACGAGACCAAGGTAGAACACGATAGCGTAGTCGGATGGAATAGTATATTTGGATGGTTATGCCAAAATACCGATGCGTTCCAACTAACTGGCTAGAGAGTCGAATACGAGCAATGCAACGTAACACGACAGCGTGCCAAATGGCCAGGATGCTTGACCGGGTGCCTTCAGCTTAGCGAGTCCAGTTAAACTATCAAGGTCAGCATCGATGTCGAAAGTCGTCAAACCCTAGGCTACTGATTTTGGGGAAGTGTATGACGCTACAGATCACTCCCCCCCTAGTGGGTTCGTGAGGACCCTAAGACGATACCAGCCGGAAGTAAAAACCCAGTGGTTTCTCCACTGGTAAAACTCTTCCGATGGGCTGACTGCGTGAGGTGGCCCCTGGTTGTCTGAACCTTATTCTAGGGTGTCGTGGCGATTAAATAAATAAAATACAATAAATGGAATTGTACGTCGGTCGCGGTCATCTGTTCCTTTCGACGTTCCGTCCAGTGCTCGTTGCACCTGGAATATAAATAAAAGTCTTTAATACCACGAAAACGTTGCGTAAAAATGGGAATTATTTATATATAAACATATCGAAAAATAAAAATTTACGCTTATCTTTACCGTTTTTTTTAAATTTCATTACATGGTAATAAAAATTGATATAAAAAGGCAAAGTATACGAGGGTTTGTATTGATGTATCGGGTAGGAGTCCGGAGTTGTTTTGGCGTTGAGCCTTCGGTAATCACCGGTTGGACGCCAGTCACTGCTATCCTTTTGGGAACCATGTGCAATGGCGATGCCCAAGGATTGTTCGACGGTCTGATAATGCCCAGGTCGAGCATGTGGTCGAATTCATTTTTCGCCGTTTGGAGCTTATCGGGGGCTAGACGGCGCGCTTTGGATGCCACAGGTGGACCTGTGGTTGTGACGTGATGCATAACATTGCTGGTTATGCACGGAAGAGTGTGCTTCGGTTGCTGTAACTCTGGATATTTCTCCAGAACTGCCTGGTAGGACGCGTCGTCTGATTGTTTAGTCCTAACGATGGCTAAACTCGGACCTACATAGGTGGTGCCGCCAATAGATAACTTTGTGCTGTTATCTATCAGTCGTCGACGGCGAGCATCTACGAGTAGATCGTAATGGTTTAGCAAATCTATGCCAATGATGGGCATAGAGACGTCTGCCAGGAGGAAAATCCAGTGGATAGGTTTGCGTAAACCTAAGTTGAGGTAGGCATACCGTCTCCCGAATGTCGCGATTGCCTTGCCGTTGGCTGCTTGAAGATTGAAGGATGGGTCAAGATGACGCTCCTTTGTCGTTGCTGGAAGAACGCTAACTTCTGCGCCGGTGTCGACGAGGTAGCGGACTTTCGTTTTAATCCGTGACGTAGAGCAAACGGCTTTTTCCGCCGGCTACGGTTGCCGTGAGCACGTGCCGGCGTGACCGTTTCCCGAGTTCGGGTCCTTCTTAAAACGGCATGGTTTACGACATTTTCTGGCTTCATCCCCGTAAGTGTTATGAAACCAGCACCATTCAGGGTTTTCCACCCTGTTGGGTTTCGTTTTAGGGCTACCACACGACTTGCTGCGATGCGCCAAGGTGCGTTTCCGTGAAGTGCTACGTGATCTAGGACTTCGAGATCGTAGCAACCGCTCACAGAGTTGCACAACTTGGTCACCTCTGAATCCTGGCGCTCTGTTTTGTCGCAGATAGAATATACGTTGGAGACGGTCTGCTGGATATCTCCAGTATTTTATCTGCTGAGGCTGCCAGGTCGTCGAGTGGGACTGACTGGAGTGTCACCAACACGGTTTGCACCGGTTGTGGTAGTTTCGAGAGAAATAGTTCTCGGAAGAAACCATCGTCAAATGTTCGTGCACCGATTACTTCTCGCATGCGTGCGAGGACTTCAGTAGCTGAGTGGCTGCCTAGCTCGATGTTACGAAGCAATTCGTCTAGACGTTGGCGATCTGTGAGATCGCTTTTCTTCAAGAGTGCGGCCTTTAGAAGTGCATAAGGGTCACTTACTTCAGGATTAAACATGTTTGCTGTAACATACCTGTTTAATTCTCGCGGTAGTGACCGTATGACAGCAAGAAATCGAGATGAGGATCTGAGACACCCTGTTCTCGAAAATCTGCCTCGGCATACAGAAACCATGTTTCTGCATTGTCTGGCCAATATGGCACGAGTTGGATCGTGTTCGTAGTCGGCTTAATACGAATAAGCTTGGGAGTGTGGTCGGACATGAGAAAGTGTAGTAAATGGATATATAAATGTTATCGAAATGAAAACAATAAACAAATATAAAATGGAACAGGCTCACCAATTCAATACTTGTTATTGGTCGGGATATGTGATCACGTCGGGCTCACCAATTTAGGATTTGTCCTGGTGCGAACTTGACAGACGCAAAGACCAATCACTAATTATTCGAACTTGTTATATACCCACGAATACGAGACCAAGGAAGAACACGATAGCGTAGTCGGATGGAATAGTATATTTGGATGGTTATGCCAAAATACCGATGCGTTCCAACTAACTGGCTAGAGAGTCGAATACGAGCAATGCAACGTAACACGACAGCGTGCCAAATGGCGAGGATGCTTGACCGGGTGCCTTCAGCTTAGCGAGTCCAGTTAAACTATCAAGGTCAGCATCAATGTCGAAAGTCGTCAAACCCTAGGCTATTGATTTGGGAGAATTGTATGACGCTGCGGTATTTTGTACCAACTTAGTCCATATCCTAGCTGGTTGGGCGTAAGCTATGCGTCGCCGCGTGGGTGATGGACCTCCTCTTGAAACAGCTGATATGTGAAGGAGTAGCACTGTCGGCGGGTACTGTATTCCAGTGTCTGCAAAGTTGCTGGCAGAGAACATATGGATACACATCTACTTCTTCTTGGGTTGCCACTGGCCTTTAACCAGGATTCCACTGTTCGGATGACTGATTTATTAGTGCTGTGTAAGTTGTTTTAAAATCACCACGTAACCTACACAGGCTAAGGGAATAAAGCCCTAGGTTTCTCGGTCTGTTTTAATGTGGTTTTCTCGGCTTTTCCACAAGACCCTTCATTACTGGCCCCTGGAATTTCTGTAGGAGATTTGCATTTCTTCTTGGGTGTGGTGATGCTATGACGTTGTGGGCCTTTAAGTGGGGCCGGATGTAAGTGCACTATGGCTTCAGGTGGAGTTGTAGAGTAGGGGCACCCGGTTGTTTGCGTATGAAGTGCGGTACTGCTAAGGCTCCGGAGGCATCTTGCTCATTGGTACAGGTGCCTAGCTTGTTAGAAATTATTGCTCTCAGATATTTCTCTATGACATACGGGAAAACTGCGCACGACCGGGAGAGTGAGATACTCTTTGCTAGCCGGAGATACATAGAAACATAGTTTGGCATATAGTGAAGTCAAATGTTAGCTCTTAGTGCTTCTCCGTCATCTCCCTCCGACAAGGTCATCCATTAGGCTCCCTAAAACTTGACAGCCATGCTAAGAGTCCTATAGATTGATAACATTTTGGGTTCTATCTGTCACCTCCTTTGAAGGTGGGAGAGAGAATGGCGTGCTCCCACACTTGTAGGAGTAGGTGCTTAGCTAAGCAGTGTTGAAACATTACAGAGTGGATGGCGTAGGGTGTCCGTACATTGTTTCAGCATAGCAAGGCAGGAACAGAGATGGAAGTCCCTCCATCTTACCTCTTAAACCCCTCACATCGCCGTAAAGACACCAGAAGTGCTTTTAAGGACGGGGTGGTGGTGGCCAGTTGTAGGGGACAGTGCGTAATAGTGAAAGTTGTTATTGGACGACCACTTCCAGCGGAGCTGACTGTTTCATACTTTATCCCACAGTGGTTTCTAGCGATATTTTGGAGTCAAGTTCGGTATGAACGCCGCTTTGTCTTTTCACAGCGATGATGACCCCAAGGTGAAGAGGGACTGCCATTTTTCTGCTCGTGGTGTTCTGGGTCTGTTTTCTCAACAGCAAACGATCCGCTGGTGTTGACCCCAGCTGCCTACCATGTTTTTGGCACCCCATTAGGAGCTACGGGCATCTGAGGCCACTAGCTATCAGTCTGGGCGATATCACTGTTATCATCCACGTGGAGCGTGCTAGGCTGCAGGCTGTTGCTGCTATTACACTTAACCCCCTTCTTACTAACTACCACTACCATTGTTAAACACGATGAGTACACCTTACTACTGATGTGCTGGCTGTTAGTGGGCAATCTTGTTTATCGGGTTCAGCGAGTAGGGCTTCTCGTGACATTTTTATTATCAACCGTGGAAGGTCTGACCTAGCCCTTATTTGGATGATCTATTGAAGACCGGTATGTATGACAACAAGAGGAACCTTTTGGCCAGCTTAACCAAGATCAAGATCACCGTCACCAAAGAGGGCCTTCCT